CTGGCAGAGACACATGCCCGACTGGCATGTTCCCTCCCTCCTGGTCATTCGTTCATGAGCTTCATAAGCTTTCTTCAGCCCGAACATCACTGACACCGGCACACTTAGGGATCCGCAGAGTTTGTGCATTTCACGTAAGAGACCTCAGCAACTCAGCATTTTGGCTAATCTACTTTATTTGCATATAAACACACACGGAGCACTGCAACATGGGTCCCTCTCTCTCTAGCATTAGACAGCAAAGAGAAAAAACAAAGGACAATAGTCCCACTTCATGGAACACAGTAACACAAACATCCTGTCTCCGTCACTTCCCACTCGGTGGAGCCAAAACATACACCGTCATGTGATGGACAACAATCCCATGACTGCAATCACGGAGCAGAAATTCTAACAATTCACATGTTCTTAAGTTTGCCGTCGTGGAACAGAATCAAACCTCCCCCTGCTTGGTTCTTCTGTGTTCCACGCATTTATCCCACTGAGGCTCCCTTTTCAGACTTTCCCAATTTTTGCTGATGTCTTGTTTAGTGTTGAGTGTGAATTGTTGCCTCAATATTCCTGGGCCCGCAGGGGCCCTCAAAAATTCTCTGAAACGGCAAAAATGCCAAGCGCCAGGAAGACTGACGGCCGCTGCGCAGGCCCCCGGGGGGTGGCTGGAAGAATTCATCACAGCAGAGCTTAGATCTTGCCCGGTTCACAAAGATGAAGTCCTGACCTTTCTGGCTCTTTGCCCATCGAGGGAGCGGCAACAGGTCGGCCTGGCTCAGAGCGTGTGGAACAGAAAGCATTGATTGCAGTTCATCTATAAAATGCAAGGGCGGGGGAAGAAAATTGATCCCTTTTGCACTGGAAGATGAACCTGCCTAATCTGCACTTTCCCAAACAATATGGGAACTGAAAATGCACTGAATCATAGAGTCAGAAGGGACACCAAGGGTCATCTAGTCCAACCCTCTGCAATGCAGGAACCACGGCTCAGAATGTCTGGCAGGTGGCCATCTGACTTATGCCTTCAAATGTCCACCACCTTCTGATGTAGTCTGTTCCACTGTCAAACAGCTTTTAGTGTCAGAAAATTCCCAGATGGGTGGGGTATAAATAATAAAATTATTACTATTATTATTATTCCTAATGTTTAGATGGAATCTCCTTTCTTGTAATTTGAAAGAATTTGCACTTCCCCAAATTTTGAAGCATAGTTCTCCAGGCAAGCAATGTCTATACTAATAAGCAGATTAGGGCAAATTGTGGATTTAAAATTCATCCATATTAGTGAAAATAACATACAAAAGAATGTATTGCCTTCGGGGGAATTGCTTCGTAAAAAATGTGTCTATTAGGCAAAATTGTACATGTGCCTATTAGGAGCAATTTGCACTCAAACATCGGTGACTTTTCATGGGGACTATAATTTAGAAAGGAAAACGATCTGCGTCAACCTATTGAGGAAGACAAGGGGGCTGCTGCTCAGTTTGCTGTCCCAGCAGCCAGCAAACTTCAAAGTCGCTCTTCTCATCTCCCTACATTTTTAAAATCTGGGCTTGGATGAGACATCTCCTCTGACAGAGGGGGCTCTGCTTGGCCTCTGTGAGAAGAAGATGCTGAACTGGGGGGGGGGGGGGTCTTTGGCCAGGTCAAGTAACAGGGGTCTTGCGCTCTCAAGTGTTTTCACTTTGCCCCAGTCCTGAGCAGGTTGTAAATGCAGTATTGATGGGCACAGGCTGCCACCTCGTGGCTCAAGTGCAACAAATCCTATCCAGTACGTAATAGAGAACATGGATCCCCAAAAAGGAACCCTTCCCAATTTGGGAAGAATAGAATAATAGAGTTGTAGAGTTAGGAGGGAGCCCTGCCAGCTGCAAGCCAGGAATTACAACTGAAGAATCCCTGGCAGACATTCAAGCTCTGCTTCAATACGTCCGATAAGGGAAAGTCAGAGGATGATGGTGCTTTTATTTGTACCCCACTCTGGTGAAGGGGAGGTGCTTGATGATGATGATGATGAAGGGGAGATGCCTTATTTTTCTGAAATTAATATGTACTTTCTCATCTACTGAATCTGAGACTTTGAGAAATTTGTCTGATTAAAGTGATTAAAATATTGTAGATATTTGTTAGCATGTAAGTGAGCTGTGTTGCAAAAGCCATGCGCAGAAGGGATCCTAGGGCATTACCTGTAGTTACAATGAAAGAGATTTGGTGTTTGTGGACGTGTGTGTGTGTGACCACACATTGTTGTTGTTTAGTTGTGTCCGCCTCTTTGTGACCCCCTGGACCAGAGCACGCCAGGCCCTCCTGTCTTCCACTGCCTCCCTCATGCTGGTAGCTTCGAGAACACTGTCCCACCATCTCGTCCTCTGTCGTCCCCTTCTCCTTGTGCCCTCCATCTTTCCCAACATCAGGGTCTTTTCCAGGGAGTCTTCTCTTCTCATGAGGTGGCCAAAGTCTTGGAGTCTCACCTTCAGGATCTGTCCTTCCAGTGAGCACTCAGGGCTGATTTCCTTCAGAATGGAGAGGTTGGATCTTCTTGCAGTCCATGGGACTCTCCAGAGTCTCCTCCAGCACCAGAATTCAAAAGCATCCATTCTTCGGCAATCAGCCTTCTTGACTAGTGGGGTGCCACAGCGTTCTGTCTTGGGCCCGGTCTTATTCAACATCTTTATCAACAACTTGGATGATGGACTCAAGGGCATCCTGATCAAATTTGCAGATGACACCAAACTGGGAGGGGTGGCTAACACCCCAGAGGACAGGATCACACTTCAAAACGACCTTGACAGATTAGAGAACTGGGCCAAAACAAACAAGATGAACTTTAACAGGGAGAAATGTAAAGTATTGCACTTGGGCAAAAAAAACGAGAGGCACAAATACAAGATGGGGGACACCTGGCTTGAGAGCAGTACATGTGAAAAGGATCTAGGAGTCTTGGTTGACCACAAACTTGACATGAGCCAACAGTGTGACGCGGCAGCTAAAAAAGCCAATGCAATTCTGGGCCGCATCAATAGGAGTATAGCATCTAGATCAAGGGAAGTAATAGTGCCACTGTATTCTGCTCTGGTCAGACCTCACCTGGAGTACTGTGTCCAGTTCTGGGCACCACAGTTCAAGAAGGACACTGACAAACTGGAACGTGTCCAGAGGAGGGCAACCAAAATGGTCAAAGGCCTGGAAACAATGCCTTATGAGGAACGGCTAAGGGAGCTGGGCATGTTTAGCCTGGAGAAGAGGAGGTTACGGGGTGATATGATAGCCATGTACAAATATATAAAAGGATGTCACATAGAGGAGGGAGAAAGGCTGTTTTCTGCTGCTCCAGAGAAGCGGACACGGAGCAATGGATCCAAACTACAAGAAAGAAGATTCCACCTAAACATTAGGAAGAACTTCCTGACAGTCAGAGCTGTTCGACAGTGGAATTTGCTGCCAAGGAGTGTGGTGGAGTCTCCTGCTTTGGAGGTCTTTAAGCAGAGGCTTGACAACCATATGTCAGGAGTGCTCTGATGGTGTTTCCTGCTTGGCAGGGGGTTGGACTCCATGGCCCTTGTGGTCTCTTCCAACTCTAGGATTCTATGATGGTATGACCACGCATATCCCCGGGCATTTATAATGGCATTTCATTCCCCCCCCATAGCACCCTCCACAGCGCCCTCGCCCTCCATGAATCTGTCCCCTTTCAAGCCATCCAGACTCTTGTGGCAGGGCGTTCCCCAGTTTAACGATGCGCCTCCACTAATAAGGAACTGTCCATTGTCTTTTACAGCGATGTTTTTGGAACGTTGTGAGGCGCCTTGAAGACTGACAACATTGGGCAACAAGAAGCGGAAACTCCACGGCCGCGTTTCCCAAACTTGGGTCTCCAGCTGCTGTTGGACTACAACTCCCATCATCCCTCGCTAGCAGGACCAGCGGCCAGGGATGATGGGAACTGTAGTCAAAAGCCCCAGCTGGCCACCCCGCCACGTGCAGCGCCAGCCTGCCTCCCCCTCGCGGCCAAATGGTACGACCCACGCGCTGGTTTGTGGGCGCGTCGTCATGGCAACTCCTGTCGTTCGCCGGCATCCAACCAATGGGGATTCGGTACATCGCGCCTGCGCAGAAACGACTGGCTAGGCCCATGAGGGGGCGCATGCGCTCTTTGCTTTGCCAGCACCTCGGCCCCGTTCGGCTGTCCGCCTTCATTCTCCCCCTTGAGGGAGAAGCGCCCCGAGAGAGAGGGGAAGTCTCGCGAGAGGAGGAGGAGGGGAGAGGGAGGAAAGAAAGGAGCGTGGCGCGGGACCGGAAGTGGGACTGCCCCGCCCCCTGACGGGCCTTTCCGCTTCCGGGTGAGCGGCGGCCGAGCCCCGGCGGCAGGTGAGGCGGGCCAGGCGGGCCGGACGGGGCCTCGGCGGAAGGGCCGGCGGGCCGGGAGGGGGGCGGACGCCGGGCCTGCGGGCATCTCCGCTCCGGAGCCCCCGGGACGGGAGTCCCGCTTCTCCCCGCCCCGCCTCGGAAGCCTCCCCCCCGTCGGACCCGCCGGCCTCAGGCGAGGAAGGCTGGGAAGCAGCCCGGGGCGGGGCGGCGGGTTGCGCTGGATGACCTTTGGGGGCCCCTTCCCACTCTCCAGGGCCTCCCTGGCGCACGTGGCCCCGAGGGCGGGGTCTGTGTTGGGGGGGGTCTGCCCTTCCGTGACCCGGAGCCTGGTGAGCTCAGCCCATGTCACAAACCCCCCTCTGCAGGCCCGCCAGGCCAATCCCGGGGGCGCAGTGGGGCTGAGCCGAGGGTAGGTGGGGGGGAAGGGGGCGGGCAGGAGGGCGTCTCCTTGCTCCCACAGCAGCACCACCCCTTGGCCAGGCCGCCCCCCGGGGAGGCGGGGAGGGGAGGGGCTCTGCCCTGGGACCCCGGCCATCCTGCTGCCTCCTGCCATCTGCCTGGAACCCGGAAGGGACCCCCAAAGGTCATCAAGTACCATCTCCTGCAGCGCAGCAGCCGGGCCGCACCCCAAGAGTGTGAGCAGGGAAGCCTTGCCCAGGGGATTTGGGAATACGTTTTGTCTCCAGTTGCTGCCTGGCCACTAAGGTTGTCGCAGTTGTGGGAGGAGGAGCCTTCACAGTGGGCGCCAGGCTGGGGGAGGCTGGCACAGGGTGGCATTGCACTTCCTGGGGGGGGTGATGGAGGCCCCCTTCACAGGAACAGGACCAGGGAGGCTGCCTTGTATCAAGCCAGAGCAGCTGATTATTTTTCTGCGCTGACGGGCAGCAGGGGCTCTCCAGGGTTTCAGACAGGAGTCCTTTTCCCCAGCCCCACCTGGAGGTGACACCTAGGATTGAACCGCAGATATTCTGCATCTGAAGCAGGTGCTCTGCCCACCGAGCAGATAAAATGAGAACAGCTGAAAAACATTGCAGGGGGGCATTAAAAAACAATTAAACATTAAAAGAATTCAATTTTTTGTGGCAAGATTCCGGTCCTCGTGGCTCTGGACTGAGTTAACTAGGACCCCTGAGTAGCTCTGCAGTTTAATTTCCAGTAACCTCCGGAGCAAACATCCTGAACGTAAGTCAGCGTTGCTGAGAACTTTGTGAATCCTCCCCCCAAATGCTGGAAATTCACCCTTTCCCTCCCCTCCTCTCTCTCCAGCCTTGTTAGCATGTGGACATGTCCAGCATCGCGCCCCTTGCGGCCTCTCTAGAGCAGTGCCCGCTTGCTGGCCTCTCCTCCTCGTGGTCCCGGTTCGTCCATGGAGGAGGGCACCATGTCGGATCTCATTCTCAACCTGGACACGTCCCTCCCTGCAAAGCCCAAGAAGGCCTGTGAGGGGAACCAAAAGCACCAGCGGTTCATCAAGCGCCGGCAGTTCCTGGAGCAGAAAGGCTTCCTGAAGCAGAAGCAGCTCCCGGGGCAAGCCCCGCTGGCCCGGCGGGATGCCTCTCAGAAGCACGGCGGGGCAGCCTGCGAGCGGGACAGGAAGAGGCCGAAAGTGGACAGGAAGGGGGCGTCTGCTGGGCAGGACAGGAAGCCTCTGCGGGAGGACAGCTCGGCCCGCAGGACCAAGACATTCCCCAAGGAGAAGGCCGCCCGCGGGGCTAAGGACTCTGGGTCCCAGGGAAGCAATGCCTCTGGGGGTGCCATGGCCTCGAGCAAAGCAGGGAGCGCTGCGGGGGGCGGTTCCTCCGCGAGGCACAACGGGGCGCAGGCCAATGGGGCCGCGGGCGAGATCCGGAGGGTGGCCCTGCTGAGCGAGTTTGAGAGCGGGCTGTCGCCGGTGCTGCTGCCGCCCAAGCCCAGTAAGGTAGTGGCCATTGACTGTGAGATGGTGGGCACGGGCCCCGGCGGGCGCGTCAGTGACCTGGCGCGCTGCAGCGTGGTCAGCTACCATGGCGACGTGATGTACGACAAGTACGTGCGGCCGCTCAGCCCCATCACCAACTACCGGACGCGCTGGAGTGGCATTCAGAGGCACCACATGAAGAACGCCGTCCCCTTCAAGGTGGCCCAGAAGGAGGTGAGTGAGGGGGGAGACCTGCCAGCCGCTCAGGGGAAGCCTTTGGGGATCCCCCTGCCCCACACAAGGTTTTCCATACCAAGGCAGTCTGTATTTTTATTCTGGCATTTGGTTGAGGATGGTGGACTAGAGGGGCTCTCTTTGGCCTGATCTAGCAGCTCTTCCTGTGGAACCCCAAGGTCCAGAGGCAGTCTATCTGGATTCCTAGGTTCTGTGGGGTATTTGGCCACAGTGACAACAGGATGCTGGACTAAGAAAGGAGCCCTTTGGTCTCATCCAGCTGCAGGGTTCTTCTTTTATATCCTCTTATGGGTGAAGTAAGGGACGCAGGTGGCGCTGTGGGTTAAACCACAGAGCCTAGGACTTGCTGATCAGAAGGTCGGCGGTTCGAATCCCCTCGACAGGATGAGCTCCTGTTGCTCGGTCCCTGCTCCTGCCAACCTAGCAGTTCGAAAGCACGTCAAAATGCAAGTAAATAAATAGGTACCACTCCGGCGGGAAGGTAAACAGCATTTCCGTGCGCTGCTCTGGTTTGCCAGAAACGGCTTAAGTCATGCTGGCCACCGGCTCCTTCGGCCAATAAAGTGAGATGAGTGCCACAACCCCAGAGTTGACCACGACTGGACCTAATGATCAGGGGTCCCTTTAGCTTTATGGGTGAAGTGGGTCAGACTGCAGCTACGATGTCTTTGTGGGTCTGCATCCTGCTGTGCTTGACTGGCTACAGCAGGCTTCCTCAACCTCGGCCCTCCAGATGTTTTTGGCCAACAACTCCCATGACCCCTAGCTAGCAGGACCAGTGGTGGTCAGGGATGATGGGAATTGTAGTCTCAAAACATCTGGAGGGCCGAGTTTGAGGAAGCCTGGGCTACAGGTTGAGTCTTGAGCTATTGAGCGCTGACTGATGACATTGCTACCCCTCCCTGCCTTTCAGATCCTCAAGGTCCTCTCTGGGAAGATTGTTGTGGGCCACGCCATCCACAACGACTTCAAAGCCCTCAAGTATTTCCACCCCAAGTCGCTGACCAGGGACACCTCGAAGAACCCTCTGCTCAACCGCAAGGCCGGCTTCCCGGAGAACGAGCAGGCCTCCCTGAAGCGCCTCACCAAGCAGCTCCTCCACAAGGACATCCAGGTAACACCCCCTGCCTTGTCCGCCTGCTCTCCCCCTTCCATCTGGCTCAGTGTTGCCCACACTGGCTGGCAGCCAGCTCTTTGGAGAAAGGCCCAGTGACAGTGTCTTGGCAGACTTCCTTTTCAAGAGTCCATCCTCTTGGCTGGCTGTAGTTGTTGTTATTATTTATTAAATGCATTGCTTGATTTTTCTTGCCGAAGGCAATTCAGTCGACACAAGGTAATATCACCAAGGCAACTATCAGTAAACAAACCATAAATGTCCATAAAAATGGCAAAAAAACTTTCTTTCCCAAATGAGTGTATCATAAACAATAGCAAATGCGGTAAATAAAGAGTTGACTTGAAAGTGGTTCACTTGTTGGAGGAAGTTTAACAAACTGAAGGACATCGTCCTCTTTCTATGCTCCTCCTGATGGAAACATGTAGATAGGGAAAGATACACCCCTGCTTTAAGTTGTTTACGTACTCTCTTCTCTTGTACCGTACATTATTTACTACAAAGCCCAGTGACTTCGTTACTGTGTTTGCAGCTGCTCAAGATACCAACCTGTTGTGGGGGGTAACTACTTTTGCCATTTTTATGAATGGACGTTTAGTGTTTGTTTACAGATATTTGCCTTGGTGGTATTATCTTGTGTCGATTGCAGTAGTCAGTGTATCACCGCCCTGTTCATTGTTTTAAAGGAAATTCAAAGCAGCCTGCAACCAAGTAAACAAGCAAAAACCCACATAGATCCATTTAAAAAAACAACTCATTAAAATAATGCATTAAAACAGATTTTAAAACACCCCACCCACCCTAAAAGGCCGAAGGCAGAGGACAAAGGCTGGTTAAAAAGGAAAGCTTTTGCCAGGCACTTAAAGATACAGGACTGTATATAATGAAGGTGCCAAGTGAGCCTCCCTGGGGAGAGCCTACCATGAACTGGGAGATACCACAGAAAAGGCCCTGCTCCAGACATTGAGGAGGCTCTCAAAGAAGGGCCTCAGATGACAATTGCAGGGTCCAGGTCAGTTCATATGCATCATAAAGCACTCACCATTGTTTCCTTGAGCCTGGAGAGAAAATGGTTGCGGAAAATGACCAGGAGGAGCTTTTCCAAATCTGTTTGTGCCATCTGTCCGTGCAGTTTTTAGACCCGCCCCGCCCCCCGACACAGCAGGAGCAGGAGTAGCCCCTGTGGCTCCCTCCAGGTGGCTGCCACACTACAGTTCCCATCACCCCTGCCCATTGGGCCGTGGTGGTACCAGGGCTGATGGGAGATGGAGTCTGGCAGCTTCTCGAGGGCCACTGAGGAGCAGAGTAGTCCCCTGGCCTTGGAGGAGACCCTGGGTTTGATTTAATATTGCACTCAGAGCGGCTCACAATAGCAGCAGAGAAGAACAGCAGATACTGCAATTGCTGTAAGCTCAAAACACAGGAGCATATAAATAAAGCAGGCAACCAGAGCAAATCTTTTGAAACAATGCAATTCTATAAATTTATAGTGAGCTGCAGGGTAAAGCTAAAGGGACCCCTGACCGTTAGGTCCAGTCATGGCTGACTCTGGGGTTGCGGCTCTCATCTCGCTTTACTGGCCGAGGGAGCCGGCGTACAGCTTCCGGGTCATGTGGCCAGCATGACTAAGCCGCTTCTGGCGAACCAGAGCAGCGCACGGAAATGCCGTTTACCTTCCCACCAGAGCGGTACCTATTTATCTACTTGCACTTTGACGTGCTTTCGAACTGCTAGGTTGGCAGGAGCAGGGACCGAGCAACGGGAGCTCACCCCATCGAGGGGATACAAACCGCCGACCTTCTGATTGGCAAGTCCTAGGCTCAGTGGTTTAACCCACAGCGCCACCCGCGTCCCTATTCTGCAGTATAAAAGGGACCGTTTAATCTTGTCCCCAAAGAGCCGAAGTTCCCTTGAGTGACTCCAGAGCCAAGCTGCTGTGCGCCTCTCTTTATCTGGGCGCCTTTTCCTAGTATCATAGAATTGTAGAGTTGGAAGGGACCCACAGGGGTCATCTAGCCCAACCCCCTGTAATGCAAGCATCCCTGACCAGGGGGCCACCCAGCTTCTGTTTTGAGATCTCCAAGGAAGGAGAGCCCACCCCCTTCCGAGTAGGCTCTTACCCTCAGAAACTCTTTTTCTGTAACTTGAATCCCTCGCTTTGGGTCCTGCCCTCTGTCTTCCATGGGGCGGCCCTTGAGGTATTTGAAGATGGCTTTGTGGGGGGGAGGGGGTGTCCTCTCGCTTTGTGAGGGGTCAGAGAGACGTGACCCCTGCCCTCATCTTGCTCCTTCCTTCCTTCTTTCCTTACCCCCCCACCCCACCCAGGTGGGGAACAAAGGCCACTCCTCAGTGGAAGACGCCCGGGCCACCATGGAACTGTACAAGGTGGTGGAGGACGAGTGGGAGAGGCAACTGGCCACCTCTCCTCAGGACTGACCCCCAACTCCAGTCGCCACCAAGCCTTGGAACCCGGAGCCGCCGGGGGAAGCCGACACTCCCCTCCCCGCCCCCCGAGCTGTTTGGGGGAGGATGTTGACGGGTCGATGGGGCGGAGGGAGAGGAGGGCCGGCAGAGTGAAGGAACTGACTGAGGGCGGGGGGGGGAGGAGGCAAGTGTGTCCATTACATTGCTTCCATCTGACGGCAGCCTTGGCGTCTTCCTCCCCTTCCTCTCTGTAACGGTGCTGAGCCTCCGGCTTGAAGCTCAGAGGGAGGGGGGCCTCCTCACCCTCCCTGGCAGGGGGGCTTTCAACATGGTGCTATCCACTCCCCAGGCCCCGGTGGCTGGGGGGGTCGTGTGCTGTTGGAGTTGAGCGCCAACCAGGCCAAAGTGCCCATCCAGTTGCCTCGGCCGGTGGATCTTTGGTGACCCCTCCCTCTGTGGTGGCACAGGGAGACTGGCTTCCTGCCCCCACTCTCTTAAAAGGGCAGGGGGGCACTCAGTTCCCTAGCTTGACTCCTGTGGGTCTCCTCTCTCCCTTGCCAGGTGATGGGAGCCCCCCCCCATACACTTGGTGGTCTTGAGCTCCCCTCTGCCGCTGCCTCCTCCTTGGTCCCACCCCCTCCCTCTGGGGTCAAGGAAGCCCCCCGCTTTTCAGCCAGGCAGGGTTGGCCCTGTGTGGACGGTGACCCCCTTGGGTTCTCGTTGGCGGGGGATGGCTGTCTCTCCCTTCCTCTTCCCACTTTCTCCACATCCTTCATAATCTCTCATTATTATCTGTTTTCTGCTCTCCGCCAGCAGGTCCCCAGGTGAATTAGAGCAATGAAAAACACAAAACAGTTTGCAATCCCAGGAACACCCCCCTGTCCCTCCCCACTTTGGCCCCCTAAACTTAGAAGACGGAAACCCCCGGAACATTGACGCTGGAGGAGCAGGTGCCTTCTGCCCTTATGGTCTCTTCCTGGTGGAGATGTGGGGCCGGGAGAAGGAATACAGTGGCACCTATGGGTTACAGACCCTCCAGGTTACAGACTCTGCTAACCCAGAAATAAAACCTCGGGTTAAGAACTTTGCTTCAGGATGAGAACAGAAATCGTGCAGCAGTGGCAGCAGGAGGCCCCATTAGCTTCAGGTTAAGAATGGACCTCCAGAACGAATTAAGTTCTTAACCCGAGGTACCACTGTATCTCTGTTCCCCTTGAGGGGAGGGGGGGCGTTGTGCACACACACACACACACCGCCTTATGGCGCCCAGAGCCTGGGAATGCCCCCCAGAGAGAGGGGAGGCCCCGTGGGTGTTGGCCCACAGCGCCCCCTCCCTGCGAAGCATCCCTTTCTCAGCTCAGCAGGCGTTGGGGTCCTGGCTGGGACGCCCTCAAGTCCAGGATGGGCAGGATCCTGCCGGATGAGCCTTGCCTGGACTGCAGCTCCCATCAGCCGCAGCATCAGAGGCTTGTTCTGGCCCCAGCCTCTGAAGGGCGCCAGGTTGGCCAAGGGCTGATCTAGGGCGCAGGGCTCTCTGCAAAGGGCAGGAGGGGGAGATCCACCAGGCAGCCCTCCCCTTTTGGTTTGCAGGGGCTCCTCTTTCCCCCTTCCTTCCTTCCTCATAATACCTCCAGCTGCACAATCAGGATGAATGGAGCATTCCTGGAGCACAAAGTTCCCATCCTTTACAACGGTAAACACTGGGCACATTTTCTCATTCTGATGCTGAAAATTCCCCGGAACACTGTGACCCCCCTTTGCCCCCCTGCATCCCCAAAGTGGCTCCATCGCTGTGTCTTGGCCAGTGAGTGTCTCATTCTCTGTCACTCTCTGTCTTTTCTCTCTGGTGCTGTTTCCCACCAAGTGACCATGAAGCAAGAAGGTGGTTTTTGTGTGTGTGAGTTTTGGGGTACTGTGCAGACCTTGCTGTTAGTTGTGACGCAACCTGTGTTTGTGTGTGTGTCTTTCTGGGAAGAAGAGGGAGCCCCGAAGCTCATTGCTTTTAATGAGATACCGACAGTCGCTCTGAAAGAAAAGGTCTTAAGGTTTGTTTTCCCATCTCTCCCCATTTGCTTTCCACAACTTTCCAAACGTCCTTCTCTCTTCCCTCTGTCCCTCCCGGGGTTTGGGGTTCTGTGCCCCTTCCTCCTGGGCTCTTGGGGACTCCCCACAAAGGGGCGTTCGCAATCTACCAAGTGGGCCTCCATGGAACTCCTAATTTATTTTAAACTTTATTGAACATTTTACAAACGGTTGCCAAACGTATTGTCTTTTCCCCGCGGAAATCTTTGATGGGGTTCCTTTGCAGCAGTCTCAGAAAGATTCCTCCTCAAGGAGTTTTAAAGTGAGCATCTTTTTAAAACAAAGACAAAAATGGAAGAATAATTTTTAAAAAACCACCCGCACGGGAAACAGATTTCCTACCCAAAAGCCCACACACACTCTGCAAAAAAAGAAACTTACTTATTCCATTTGTGTTAATGCTAGTAATTATGAGCGGGCAAGTCTTCTCTCTGTGCTTGGGATTGTTTTGTCTTTTTCTAAAAAAGTAAAATATTTCACTTACTGGCTTGAGACCTGTGTGCTTGCGTAGGCGTGGCAGGGGGAAGGGCCCTGATCCGAAGAGCCGCTGTATCTGAAGAACATGAAAAGAGCTCTGCAGCTGGATCAGGCCACAGGGGACCTGCCCATTATGGGAAGTCCACACGATGGACCCGAGTGCGAGAGCAGCGCTCTCCCTGCCTTTTCCAGCAACTGCCTCTGACATTGGAGGCAGGACATAACCCACCAAGGGGAGTCGCCTTTGATAGCCCCCTCCTCCTCCGTGAATTTGTCCAACCCTCTTCTAAAGTTGGGGGCCATCACTGCCTCCTGTGGCAGGGAGTTCCACAGTTTGTGGGAAGAAGTCCTTTCTTTTCTCTGTCCTGAATCTTCACAAGGTTCAGTGTGAGGAGAGAGGGAGGAAAACCTTTCTCCCTCCATTCTCCATGTCGTCCTTACACGGCCCCATACCACCTGAAGGATTGCTACACAAAGCATCATCATTGTTTTCTTGAATGTTGGTTCCTTGGTTTTCCGCTTCCTCAGCTCTTGGGAGCTTCCAGGAGGCCCTGAGGAGGTGGGGTGGGTGGCAGCCTCTGTGGGACCCTCTCCCTGGACACCCAAGCTCCTGCCATTCCAACCCCAAGCAACTCCTTATGTATCTCATGCAACAGACCTGCATCTTGAACCATCAAGTCCCAAGGCGCCCCAGGATAGCTAGTGATGCAGGTGGTAGCCATGACAAGAGCCAAGCTGCTTTTGCCTGCACGTCCCTCCACGGCTGGGCCCCTGATCCTTCTGGCCAGAGGAGTGAAGATCTCCCTGGAGAGATTGAACCTGCTCAGCCAGAGGGACCAGCTTCCCTGAAGTGCAGTGGCAAAAGGGAAAGGCTCTTTGCAGGGCCTCTGGCCACCCACCTCCCTGCATTTCCACTCCCCCTTTTATCCAGAACCACGAGGACTAGAAGCCTGCTTTGTTTTTGGCAGAGGAGCTGTCGCCCTGCTCAGCCAGCAGTGGCTGTGGCTCTTGCACCCGGAGGGGTCTGCGTTGTGGCTCTGGCGGTTGGCGCAGACCTGGTGCCTTCTTTGCCACCAGGGGAAGCTGCAGGACCAGCCTTCGTCGCATCGTTCTGCAGGCCAAGCGGGGATCCTCCAAGGCAGGGCTGGTTGCTTGTGGCCTCCACGGGCGAGAAGGGGTGTGTGTGTGAAAGAGACGCATGCACAGCTTCCAAGTGAGCTTGGAGCTGGGGCCGACTTCAAAACAAAGCCCACCTCTCCATTCAGTTGGGGAAGGGGAGGAATGTGCTGTGGCCCACCAGGGCTGGGGAGAGACGAAAGCTTTTAAAGGTGAAATATGGCCTCTGTCTTGGGACTGAGGGCGAGAGCCCAGCCAGCGGGCCTCTTGTGATGGATCTGTCGCTCGGGGCTCCTTCGGATTTGCTCTTTGTGTGGCCTCCAGACCTCCTCTCTCTTTCTTTTTCTTCCTTCCTTTAAAAATGCTTCTCGCCTGTCTTAATGCAAATCAGAGGAGGAGGAGCCAGTTTCTAAGAACATTAGCAGAACCTGGCTGCTGGATCAGGCCAGTGTCAGCATCCTGTCCTCACAGGGGCCAGATGCCCCAAAGAACCTCAGAGTCGAGATAGACTGCCTCTGGACCTGGAGGTTCTCTAGGAACCTGAGAAAAGCCTGCCTGTTGGGTCGGCCGAAAGGCCCATCAGCCCAGCATCCTCTTCTCACAGTGGCCAGCCCGATGCCTGTGGGACTTGAGTGCCAAGGCAACTCTCCCCTCCTGTGGTTTTCAGCAACTTAATTCAGGAACACTGCCGCCTCCCACCGTGCAGGCTCTTCACCTTCGATGGCCCTCTCCCTGAATTCTTCCTAATCCACTTTGGTCCCGAAATGTCAGTTTCCTCATCCTTTTAAGTCAGGGGGTGTCTTTTGCTGCTCTTGCCCCGGTGTGGAGTGTTTATACCATTTCGCTATTTATAACTTTGTCATAACACGGAGCTCTCCCCTCTGTTTGCTTTTGCTCGGCTCTCTGCGTTTCGATAATTAAGGAATGGCCGTCGGAGGAATGGGCCCGGGTGTTTTTTCTTCCACTGCCTCCCTTTACACATAAATAACTTGTCAGTTCTGACAGGGCTGCTGTGGCCCAGAGACCCGCCGCAACCCCCACCCTCTCGCTCCCAGGCTCGCCAAGGCGGGCCCAGATTCGGAAGGAGCCCGGGGCAAACTTTGAGAGAGGAGGGTCGAGCAATGCTATCTCTCTGGCTTGACTGCACAGGGAAGCCTGTTGTCTTTGTTCACTGGGGGAAAGACCAAAGCTCAGTGGTAGAGCACCTGCTTGGCCTGTAGAAGGTCTCGGCTCAATCCAGAGCGGGGGAAGAGCCCTGCTATCTGAAGCACCAGACAGCCACTGCCAAGGAGTGTGGACAGTACCAAGCTAGATGGTTTGAGCTGCAGTGAGCAGCTCCCCACTCCTGCCTTTTATTCAGAACCATGAGGACTAGCTCCCTGCTTTATTTTCAGTGGCAGAACATCTGCTTTGTGTGCAAAGGGAGGTCGTAGGGTCAGTCCCTGCTGGCACTTCCAGGTAATGGCGGCCACGTCGCCTTTTCTGAACCCCTGGAGAGTCGGCGTGGGCAACGTGCAGGGCCTGGCTCTCCATGGGGCACC